TGGGGTTGATTTACTAACCTTATAAACACACCACGAACATGTATACACCTCTGTAGTGTGTTCCCTCCCAGCATGATCTATGGGTGGAATCTAAACACCTTTGTAGTGTGTACACACCCAGCAGGGGTGTTGTGCAAAGCCCTGCATGAATTACAAGGTGATGTTGTGTAAATTAGCTCTATGTTGTGTTGCTTGCGTTGATGAATGCAGGAATTTAAATGCATGAGCTAACCATTTTTGTCTAAACTGTGAAGCAGCATTATATATGCATCATGTGCATGATTTTTCTTTTTGGTTGATAAATACGTTTTGCTGTGTGAAAATCACACGCACCTGGTGCGTGCGTGTGTTTAGGTTAGTAAATCACCCCCTATATGTCACACAGACATTGATTCAACACTCTACGGAACATCTAAACCAAGAGCATAGTAAGTGTTATTTTTTTTCTAAAATTTAATATAGAAATGCATGTATATAATTTTTTATATAATTGTTAACAATCAAATTTCTTTCTCTCTTTCTCTCTACCTTGTAGATAGAATGAAAGTCATACTAAAGCATAAGAGTCTACTAATTGTGGTTATTGTATTTTGTCTTCTATTAAGCCTGCTTTACAGTCAAAGACTAAAAAAGGTAACAAATTGTAATTGATGAGTTTTAATAAGTAATTATTACTTTAACCCACTATCTGCTATATTCACTACTGTATGCCCATGATTTTCCTAAACCATAGTGTTTGCAGCTGCACAACTCTCTTTTGAGCACTCTGGTCTCTATGGGGGAGAAGAAGACTGCTGTCATAGGGATAGAATAGTAACCATTGTGAGTGGTTACTGATCAGATTGTAGACTTGCTAAACCTTTTACTGTTGCCGCTGAAGTAGTGCAGGGAGGGGATAAACACTGCAACATATTAGATTTTATTTTGTAGAAGTGATCCAGGTGGCTGTATAGCCACTCAATCACTTCTACAGGTGTGCGGGTATCTATATGACATAGATGTATGTATCAAAACCCACATACACATATTTGTGGTCTATGCATTTAGGATAAATAGGAGAAAATATTTTGGTGAAAATATTTGGAATAGTAATAATTATACAAAAATGTTTTTCAAATTAAACACATTGATAGTGCATTTTTTTTTACATAATTGTCAATGCCTTTGTGTGTTGTAAAAATTTTATTCAGGGTATTTTTAAAAACAAATTAGCAAATGAAGACCCAATATGTGTAAGAAAACTGCTCAAAAATTATTTTGCTATGCCTAACTGTTTAATTGTTCGGTAAACCGCTTTATATGAAAACTTCAACAATTGGCCTGGTCCCAAAGACTTTGATGATCCCCGGGCATGAAGGGTTTAAAAAATTATCTTTTTGTCAAGTTATATGTAATAAAAGGAATTTGAGCAAACTTTGTGGATTTTTTTCTGTTGATGAATGCAAAACAGCAACTGTTTTACCTGCCAACAGGATTTGTGTTTCTGCCCATCCACTTCTGAGGTTTATACAGCTCTATCACACAGCACAGCCCTGTCAGGCAGGGTAGGATATCTACTTTTGTTCTGCTGTAAATGCTACTAAAATGGGTGATGCATTAAAACGCTGCTTACTTTTCTTTAATTTTTGCTCCAATGATGCTCCTACGTTGTTCTTGGTAGTAACTGTTTAATATATATTTGTTGAGTTTTTCAAAGTAACACCAAAGAAACAAGACATTTTATACATACAATTCCAACATTCATATTCAAATCATCAAGAAAAACAAAATCATAACACCTTTTAATCTATCTTACTCACTCGATGAACTGCGCACATTTTAATACTTTTACATTGTTCGTGAAGTTTCTAACCGAGAAGAAAAAAAAAGTGTAAATAGTGTAAATAATTAGCATCAAAACTAGTTACCTCACTGCAAGGATTCAGGGCTTGTTTTTGCCTAAGGTCATAGATATACTCACCCGATTCTCCGATCCGGGTGAGAATAGCCTGTCTCCTCCTATGTCCCTCGGCCAGGGCCGGTGCAAGGATTGTTGGCTACACAGACGAAGGTGCATTTTCGCACCCCCCGCGGCTGCCAATGCAGCCTTATGTTAACACCGGCCATGCCCCCTCTCAGGTGACCCCGGTGGTACAGATGACCCCCATTCCAAGCAGTGACCCCAATGGATAGGTGATCCAAATAATTCAGGTGACCCCCCTTCCAGGCAGTGACCCAGGTAGTACTTGTGATCCCAGTTTTACAGGTTATACCCTCCTAGCCAGTGATCCCTCCCACAGTGCAGGTGACATCCCCCCCCCTCCCGGTTAGTCCAGGGGGATGAACATACTCTGGTTGCTGTGTGAATATTGAAGACACTGTGAATTATTGATGAGCTCTCTGGTTGTTATGTGGGATCTCTGGGCAAGCACAGTGTACATATCTCACCACAGATGAGACACACACACTCCGCTATACTGACACACACATACACATACTGCTATACTGACACACACACACACTATACTGACACACACACCGCCATACTGACACACACACACCGCAATGCTAACACACACACACACCGCTATACTGACACACACACCGCTATACTGACATACACACACACCGCTATACTGACACACACACACACACACCGCTATACTGACACACACACACACCGCTATACTGACACACACACCGATATACTGGCACCGCTATTCTTACACACACACACACCGCTATACTGACACCGCTATACTGACACACACACTCACCGCTATACTGACGCCGCTATACTGACACACACACCGCTATACTGACACCACTATACTGACACACACAAACACACCGCTATACTGACACACACACACCCCGCTATACTGACACACACACACACCACTATACTGACAGTCAGCTCCCCAGGCAACTCTGGGCACCTCAGGACATTGTTGGAGGCCCCAATGCACTGTGTGAGGCTATGGAGGACCCCAGTACATTGTGACCAGCCTCATGGTGCCCCAGTACATTTTAGGGGGCTGCAGCCATCTGGCACTATTGGACATGACAGGGACCTCATGGTACAATCATGGTCCTACCTTGAAGAAGTCGGTCCTGAACCTCTCACAGTAGAAGTCGTTGATGCAGGCCAGGTTGAAGACAGCACTGCATCCATGGGGGCATCCAAGGGGGCCCTCGGGCTCCGTTTTCTGCCTGACTGACAGACGCGGCCTTTCCACCCCCAGCAGCAAGGCCCAGACTGTGGGAGGAGCCCAAGGAGTGACAAGAGGCAGAGACTGCTATCCCGGCCACACACCGAGAGAGTCCGACTGCACAGGTAAGGAAAATGAGAGACCCCGCCCCCATTCTGCCTCTGCCTCGCCTTCTACACCCCTTCCAAGTGCAAGCTCAAAACTCACACATGGAGCAGAAGCCACACAGTCTCTACCCAGACAATAAATGACCGAAGCCACGCCTCCCCTGACTGCCCACCGCACGTATCCCGTTCGCTGCCAGACCCTTTCTCCGTACAGTGCAGGGCCTGTGCAAGGAATTTTACCGCCCCCGGCGCCCTCAAGCGGCTGCCTGTCTTGCCTTACACTAGCGCTGGCACTGCCCTCGGCATCCTCACGTCCTATACACTGAGTACATACTCAGGGACCTTAGACAACTGCAGTGAACATGGAGAGAGGCTCCAGGGATTGGTCTAAGAGCAAGCTGCCTAAGAAGATCGGGTGAGTATAACTTTTTTATTTTTGACCCTAGGCAAAAATGAGAACTTAACCCTTGCAGTGCAGGGGTAGCCCCAGTGTAAGGGTTAATACGATTTTTACCCGAACTTCTGCTTTAATTGTTGAGTTTAGAAGTGCATTAAAGTTGTGAGCCACTGATTATTAGGTCAAGGCAGAACTAGAAGGAAAAATTCAAGCATTTGACTGTTTTTTTTAGTGAAATGATATGGAGAAATTCTAGGTGATGCCTGACTTTAAAATTGTCAGTGTCATTATAGTAGCCTAACCTGTCACAAAAATAACACAATGGCCGCATTCCAGAATTTCTAAGAAACATGGTTATTGTGAGATAATTGCACTCTATCACAAAGATAAGTGCTGTTAATTAGACAGTGCAAACGTTTCAGCCTTCTACAAAAATGAAATGCAGTTCTCAGCCCTTTAAAGCTAAGAGTGATAACTTTCAGCTGCCTATAATATGTGTGCCAGAATGGAATTAAGTTTACGCCTTGATTTCTCGGTAAGTCTAGTTAATGTTTACAATTAAAAATAAAACAAATATAATTAGTAGCTAGGCTACAAATGTTCTAGTTACATAACATAATCTCATGAGTAATGCATGATCAGCTTTATAATTTACTATGCAAAGCTGCCATGGCACATACCTATCTATTTTGTCATTTATGTGTAACCTATTGTCACTATAGAAGCTGTGTTTGCTGGTCTGTGGTTTTTAGTTGGAGGAACCAAATGGATCAGTGCCAAAATCTGACTGAAATAATAAAATGCATAAATAACATCCCAAAAGGATTTATGATCAGACAGCGGAAGAGTAAAGCTGGCCATATACTATTCTATTTTTTTAATTCAACCCGCAGGCTGAACGAAAAAAAAAATAGAACAGATTCCTCCACCAAGGCTATGAGTGCATTGATCGAGAAATCCCTGCTTTTTTTTTTTATTCTGACAGCGGCTGCCGGTCACTGTCAGAATACCTGAACAGAGCCCCTAGCTCATTGGCTGTCCGCTCTGTTCGTGCGAAGATTTTCATACTGGCTTCTTCAATCAGCTAATCGAGGGATGCTGGCCAAAAGGGTGCCGACAGTGTTCCTGAACAACTGGCCGAAATTCTCATAATGTATGGACAGCTTTATGCTGGTGATTTGTAAATGAGATATGAAGGACAACAGTGGAGGAACTGCATTTTAGTGTATATCCTTAGTCCCTCTCTACTATACCTTGTTTAATACAGTCTGTTATTAAACCTGGTGTAATAACAGACTTCCTAATGATGTTCTATCCTTATTTTGCAGGAATTTAACGCACATTTTGTAGTGCTGTCAGAAACCAAACCACAAACCACAGCATTAAAGGGTTATTAAACCCTCCGGTTACTGCTAGCAAGCAGTAGATCTATGCAAAAAGTGTAAAAAAAAAAGAAAAGAAAACTGCTGTAACAGAGGTTAATACTCACCTGTGTCTTTGCCGCACGCTCCCGTCCGAAAATGTGAAGATCATCGGGTGGCCGCAAACCATCTTGGGGCAGGAGCATGCGCAGTTCACATTTTCAGCCGAGACGCGAGGAGAGACATAAGGTAAGTATATGGACGCGTTCACCCGCATGCAGACACCGTGAGACAGGAAGGACTCCCCCATTAACATTGGAAAAAATGCATCCTGTTTATTGCAACCCTCAGTGTCCAGTGACCCCAGAAACACTCAGCGCTTTCTATTTATAAAATATCATCCGTTTCAATAGTCTCCAATTTCATGAATGTTTTAATCTTCTTTTACATACACAATTTGGCTACAATTCTGTAACTTGTATATATATCATATTAACTCTCTAATGTATGTAATGATTTGATGCTTTTGTTTCTTACAGTGTATTACTATAGAGAACCATACAGCTACAGACAACAAGTTAGAAAAAGAATCAGAAGTTCAGAAGCAGATTAATAAGATATTCAGTCATATAGATGAAATGATCCCTAAGGTGACTTTTGTCCATATTGACTACACAACAAGTGCCAACAATAGCAAAATGTTCATAACAAGTCCCCCCAAAAAACTATTGTGTTGGAGACAAATTATTAGTACAAGTTGATGCGTATGACCATTTAGGCAAAAAGAAAACCTATGGAGGAGACTATCTAAGAGCAATAATTTCCAATCCTGATTTACAAGCAGGAGCTTCTGGAAGGATTGAAGACTTTAAGAATGGGACATACCACGTTTATTTCACCTTATTTTGGGAAGGTGAAGTAGTGGTAAGAGTGTTTCTCATGCACCCAAGTGAAGCCGTTTCGTCACTCTGGAAGTCACGAAATAGCTGGTATGGGAATGTTGGCTACTTGTGCAAATTCACTAGTCCAGGCAAACAAGTAGAAACCAACTGTGGCTTTAATCTCAGTAAAGAAGAAAAACTGTGTACATATATAGATGAGAGAGATGAGGAATACTTCTACTCTGTCAGACCCCAGAATTTCAGTTGTGATTCATTAACAGAATTCAAGAACTGGAAGACATTGGCTACCCAACTGTCTCCGCTGGAAAACAGTCTGCTTGTAAGGTACGTCTACGTGTTCTGTTTTTGGGCCAATATATAGTAAAACATTTTCTGTAATAATTAAGGTAAAAAAATGCCTACCTGTGGATAATTTTTTAATAGAAGCAGTCAGAATATAGAATTGGTCAGATTTCTGTCACATTCACTTTGACATGTGCATGGGCACCATGATAACTAATCAACATAATTGATTTAAGGTCTGTTTCCTTTGTTGCAGTTCAAATGTACTGTACGTTGTTTGGTGAATACTACACTAGCATCAAACCAGTACATGCATAGATGTCCTTATGTCACTACCATGATATATGTACTTTATTTTTTGTGACTCCTACCAACTCCGCAAACACAGGAGCTCATGTGCCCTGGTCCCTAGACCGTGACATTTGCTTTATCATATATTTTAAAGAACTAGCATAATTTATGATAATATGTACAACATATTTCTAAATTAAAATACAATCTTTTTTTTTTAAATAATTTTTTTTTTTTTTTTTTTAAATACAATCTTTTTTTTTCAAATTCAGAGTGGAAATTCCACAGCAAATTTCTGAGTTTAACGTATCTTGGTGTGACAGTAAGTTTCATGCTTCCTCTTTTATCAAACCGGTATCTAAACATAAATGAAGTTCTTTTAAGAGACAATGCCTTTGGATTCAGTACATACCCAACGAGTTTCATTTTACAGAAATAGGGAATGCAATCTCAGAAAAAAAAGCTTTTTTTAAGTAATTTATGCCAGAGAAAGCAATTTTTTTATGCTAAACTGGTCTTTATCAGCTCAGCATGGAAAAATCACAATGTCATTTTCCATTTGAAAAGACCGCAGAATAGTAAAATGTTCATCTAACATCACCTATAGGAAAACGGTGCTGCTCACACAGTTAAGAAGCAAAATCAGTGAACTGCTAATTTCATCCAGGAAACTCTGCAATTATGTTAATGTCAGAAAGTCCAGGACAACTTGTTCTATATGAATTTCCCATTCTCCTTGCAGCCACCCCGATCAGGATTTCTTTTAACTGCTCTCCTTTAGATCTTCAAATCTCTTTGTATGTAATGTTTACTAAAAAAACATAGAGGGACCCCTGTAAAAGAAAATTATGAATTCTAACATATTGCCCTTGTCCTGAATCTTTGCTTATTTCAAGAGCTATGTCTCATCCAAGGAATCTTCTGCATTTGACACATTACTGGGTGTTTAGGAAACCGGCCCCCTACATGCTTTGGTCTGCCAGCCCCTATGCCATTACTGTGTTCTGCTGGATGGAGCCACAGCACACAGCTGGGCATCAGGAATCAGATACGGAAGATTCTTTGAATGCCACAGCTCTTCAAGAATGTGAAGAGTTGATCATAACGGACACGGGGGGCATTAATATAATATACCGTACTCTGATCTAACACCCTCCTTCCCTTCCCTCCCCTCCTGAAATTATTATAACTTTTTTTTTTTTTTCTCCCTCCCTCACTCTCCTACACAGACCTCGGGTATTATTGATAATCATTAATAAACCACTTGGTCTCTTCCTTACCCCACCATCCCCGATATTTATTTAATAACCCAACATATAAGTGGGTACTATGTACACATGTGTGCTCTCCACTATATTAATGCCCGCATACAATCAGCGGGGTGCTATGTCGGCTGTCCTTTCATTTTTTCTTTAATTCCTCTTTGCAATTGATAAAGAGAGCACTTACCAATAAGGCACGGGCCAGTCAATTACATCAGACGCCTTAAATGACAGCGCAGCCGGCATAAACACCCGACTACCCATTTTCAGTTCTACCACACAAACCAGAAAGCTGCCTCCCTTTTTCTTCTCTAACCTCAGGTGCCTGTATGGCTAAACAATTAGTTGTTTGTTTTTTATTTGACAGTTTGAAATGTCCGTGTTGGTCTATACTTGCAAGATTGTATATGTATACCCTTTTCCTGCACTGTCCTTTTATGTACGGTGTAAGCTTTAAAAAATTTACTTTGTGTGTAAATTTTGTCTTGAACTAATGAGGTCTGTAAACATCAGGTTTTAAAAGTATAGAGGGAAAGAAAAGCTTAAGCTCTTCCTACTTGCAAGAATGATGACTATATAATGTTTTGTTCCCTATTTAATTTTTACCGGACTTAAAAAAATGAAAAATATTTTTACAAGTCCTAAGACAAAAAAACACTAAACCACCTTTTTAGACTGTAGCTTTGGCTTCATTTATAAAATTAGGTATGCATAATTACCCAGAAAGGAAACTGATAGATTTGGGATTATCTAGCTTACAAAACCACAGGAGTAGATGTCCTAATAACTAGAGTATTCCTGCAATGCCAGGATGTGCCCCTTGTGTATATAAGTAATTTTATTCAGTGTTGTGATCATTCCTTAAAGGGCCAGTACACCTAAACTCCCCTAATATATTTTTTATATCACTTGGGAATGCTACTGGTGGGATCGCTGTGCTTGCATATTTCTAGGTCTGCAGACCTGGTGTAGTCATCATGAGGGAATCATATACTCCCTGCTGAACTTTTTATTTGTATTACATTATTGAGCAGTGCTGTCTAACTGGTGGCCTGCAGGCCCGCTTCTTTTACAGCCCCAAAAGTGGCCGTGGAGTGTCAAGTGCTGATTATGCTGGTACTTGTCAGGCAAAGTGATCTCCTACCCAACAATGACAGGATAGTTCCCACTCCAACTATAGAGGCAGAGTAACAGCATGGAAGCATGTGATCAGGTAAGAAAAAATACTGAACACTGTAGTATAATAATAGAACTAATGTAAGAAAAGTCCTGCGCGTTTTGGAGGGCCAGCACGCAAACATTCACTAGCGTTCAGGCGTGCAAGCAGGAATGCGGACAGGAATACATCTACAGACATGTGCATGAATTAGTGTGGAGGCACACAGGAATTGGCATAGGACATACAATAATGGCAGTCCTACATACAGTAAATGGTCATGTAATGTGCACAATTTGCTGAATTGTCTCCAGCCAGTTCCCTTCTTACCTGTGACCCGACCTGCCTTCCACTTACCTTTCCTCCTGACCTCTCCTTGGACCTCAGCCAGCCTACTGTGGCCTGCTTACTGGATTCTGCTTTCTACCCTCTGTAACGTTCTGATCTGCTGTTACCAAACCCGACCCTGCTCCTGGCTTCTGATCTGGTACCTTGCTGCCCGGCTGGTTTGACCTTGGCTTGTGACCTCAACTCTGCTCCTAAATTCTATTTTGGCCTTTCTGCTGCTCGACTGTCCCCAGTCTCCTTTCACTGGGTCTTCGCACCTGAACTATGCACAGAATCTACCCACTACATTAGCAATTTGGCCACTCACTTGTGTCCTTACACTCCCTGTCCCCACTTCCTGGGGTTTTGGAAGGGTGGGGCAAGAAAAGCCCTCTCATCAGATCGGTCTCAAGGAACAACTATTTTTGTTCTCACTGACACCAACCATAGGAGGCTAATTTTACTCCCACTGACACCAATGATATGGGGCTTATTTTACTCGCACTGACACCAATGATATGGGGCTGATTTTACTCCCACTGACACCAATAATATGGGGCTTATTTTACTTCCAGTGACACCAATTATTATTATTATTACATAGTATTTATATAGCGCCAACAGTTTGCGCAGCGCTTTACAATGTAAGGAAGACATTACAATTACAATACAATTCAAGTCAGGATGGTAAGGAGGGCCCTGCCCCTGAGGGCTTACAATCTGAAAGAGGAGGGGGAAATGATACATGAGGAGGTAGCTGTGTGGGGATGAATTGTTTGAGAATGTGATGGTTCAGTGGTTAGGTTGAGGTGGGATAGGCTTCCCTGAAGAGAAGAGTCTTCAGGGAACGCCTAAAGACAGTCAGGGTGGGAGATAGATGGACAGGTTGGGGTAAAGAGTTCCAGAGGATGGGAGAGACTCTAGAGAAGTCCTGGAGGCGAGTATGGGAGGAGTTGACTAGGGAGCTGGAAAGCAGGAGGTCAATGGATGAGGGGACGGTTAGGGTGATACTTTGAGACAAGGTCTGAGATATATCCGGGGGCAGAGTTGTGGATGGCTTTATAGGTGACTGTTAATATTTTGAATTTTATCCTCTGGGCGAGTGGAAGCCAGTGCAGGGATTGGCAGAGGGGGGTTGCAGACACTGAGCGGTTGGTCAAGTGGATGAGTCTGGCAGCTGCATTCATGATAGACTGAAGGGGGGATATCCTGTGTAGTGGAAGGCCAATGAGGAGGGAGTTACAATAGTCAAGACGAGAGATAACAAGGGAGTGGATGAGTAATTTTGCGGTTTCTTTGGTGAGGAAGAGGCGTATTTTGGAGATGTTACGAAGGTGAAGGCGGCAGGGTTTGGATTGTGATTTGATGTGGGGAAGAAAGGTGAGGTCCGAGTCAAGGATGACACCTAGGACCCTGGCATTGGAGGAGGGGTGGATAGTTGTGTTATCAATCTCAACTGAAATGTTGGGGGAAGGTGCACGGGTTGGAGGAAATATCAAGAGCTCAGTTTTTGAAAGATTGATCTTTCAGAAATGTTGTGACATCCAGACGGATATGTCAGTTAGTAGATTAGTGACACGAGAGGACACAGAGGGGGAGGGTTGTGGAGTGGAAAGATAAATTTGAGTGTCATCAGCATAGAGATGGTATTGGAAGCCATGGGAGGTTATTAGTTGACCAAGGGAGGAGGTGTAGATAGAGAAGAGAAGGGGTCCAAGGATAGAGCCTTGGGGGACCCCTACAGAAAGAGGAAGAGGAGGGGAGGAGTTAGAATTGGAAGTGACATTAAAGGAGCGCATAAATAAGTAGGAGGAGAACCACGAGAGAGCAGAGTCTTGTAGGCCAAGCGAGTGGAGTTTTTTGAGGAGCAGCGGGTGGTCAACAGTGTCAAAATATGGGGCTGATTTTACTCCCACTAACACCAATGATATGGGGCTTATTTTACTCCCACTGACACCAACGGTATGGGGCTTTTTTTACTCCCACTGGCACCAATGATATGGGGC